TCTGAGGATCCCCTTGGCTGTCGCGCGACCACAGAAGGCAGAGCCCTGCGAAGGCGCATTTCGGACACGCTCGGAAACAGCTCGCACGCCTTGCTCGTCGTGAGCCGTTCGCCGCGTTCCACAGCTTGCCACGCCGGATCCGCCAATTCAGCTGCGGCCTCCTCCACGAGGGCCTCGACGTCAGATAAAAGGTACGTGTGCACGTCTCGAGCTGCATTAATTCCAACCGCCGGCTGCCGCGCGACCAAAGAAGGCTGAGCGCGAAAGCGCCTTTCGGATACGCTCGGATAAAGCTCGAGCGCCTTCTGCCTCGTGAGCCGTTCGCCGCGTTCAACAGCAGCCCAAAGAGGATCGACGGCTGCAGGAGCCGGAGCCGCGAGTCGCGCGATGAGCGCAGTCACGTCCGAGGGCAAATACGTCCAGACGTCCACAGGCTGAGCCAGTCCAATTTTCGGGCGCCGCGCCGTCATGCGAGGAATCGTGGCAAGCTGGCGTTCAAAAACGCCAGGGTAAAGCTCGAGCACCTTCGCCGCCGTCAACCGCTCGCCGCGCTCCACCGCAGCCCAAAGAGGATCGACAGCCACCGGAGCCGCTAGTCGCGCGGCGAGCGCACTCACGTCCGAGGGCAAATACGTCCAGACCACTCGAGGATTGCTTTTAAAGCCAAGTTCCGGCCGTTGCGCTTTCACGCGAGGAATCGTGGCGAGCTGTTTGTCAGAAACACCAGGGTAAAGCTCGCGCACCTTCGCCGCTGTCAACCGCTCTCCGCGTTCAACAGCAGCCCAAAGAGGATCGACGGCCGCAGGAGCCGGAACCGCGAGTCGCGCGACAAGCGCAGTTACATCCGAGGGCAAATACGTCCAAACTCCTCGAGGACTGCTCGCGCCAAGCAGCGGCTGTTGCGCTTTCACACGCGGAATCGTTAGAAGACCGTCGCCGAGGCCCCGACATGTTCCATGGTAAAGCTCGTGCACCTTCGCCGCTGTCAACCGCTCGCCGCGTTCAACAGCAGCCCAAAGAGGATCGACGGCCACAGGAGCCGCGAGTCGCGCCACGAGCGCAATCACGTCCGAGGGCAAATACGTCCAGACGTCCGAAGGCTGAGCCGGTCCAATTTTCGGGCGCCGCGCCTTCATGCGGGGAATCGTGGCAAGTTGGCGGTCAGAAACGCCAGGGTAAAGTTCGAGCACCTTCGCCGTCGTCAATCGCTCGCCGCGTTCCACCGCAGCCCAAAGAGGATCGATGGGCGCCGATGCTGCCGCAGCTGCCGGAGGTGCGGGTTGCGCTTCTAACATGGGTGGCATGGCCGCTGGTTGCAACGCCGGAGTTTCGAGGGCGCCGGCGTCCGTGGACTGCGCCCCGACAATTTGTGTCACCTCGTTCTTGAACCATCGAACATCTTCGCCGTCGAGATCGACGCCAAGATTGGTCTCGAGCTGCGTCCAGAGGCTCGCGAGCTGGGCAGGGTCTATATATCTCGCCGCCAAAATATCGCCGAGCCGCGCGCCGACGCGCCGCCACATCGCACGCGCCTCCTCCTCTGGACGGGCTACGCCGAGGACGACCATGGCGTCCGCGCTCTTCGCGTCGCCGAACTTTTCGACGACCTCGTCGAAGGACGCGCGCGACGCGTCGAAGCCGTGTACGCTGAGGACCACGTCGCCAACGCGGAGCGCGCCCGCGGCCATGACTTCGTGTTCCGTGAAGTCTGTGATGACGACGCGCGAGGCGCTGTCGAGGCCGATGCGGATACCGTACGACCCGTTCGTGAGCGCGAGGGACACCTCGAGCACGGAGTGGCCGGGGGGCACAATCGGCGGCGGCGGTGGCACCTCGACGCCGCGCGAGGGTTCTGAGCCCCGACGGAGCTCGACGACCTCCTGCGGAAGTGCCGCAACCTGCGCTTGCTGGAGAGTCACGTTTTGGGCTTGGAGCTCCGCGACCTGAGCCCGGAGCGCCTCGTTCTGGGCTTGGAGCACTTCGAGCGACGTCCCACCGTCATCCGGCCGCGCGCCCTGGGCGGCGCTCGACATCTGCTCGTAGGCGTCGCGAGCCGAGAGCGGTCACCGCGCCTGTGCTGAGGCGATTTCAAGCGACCCGCTCGCGAGGCCTCGAGAAGCTACTTGTATTATTATTATTATGGGTGCTTTAACGTGGGACTAGGTCGGCGGCCCGTGGGCGGCCGACGGCGCACGCGGATCAGGTCGGATA